GACTCTACCTTAAATCGTTCCAGGTGGTAATTGTTTTTCATCAGCTGTCGAGTGATGGGACGAGCAATAACCAAAACACAAAATGAAATAACGACTTCATTATCTGAAGAGGCTATCATAGATTAAAATGCATATTCAATTTACGCCAAATCGCGGCGTGATTAAACACCTCTGTTTGGCTAAAGGAAAATTACGTGGCGCTCCCGCTCCTGCATGGGTGTAAAAGCTTTCGAGAAATTCAACCAGTGCCTGGTGTCCAGATTTAGCCATCGTGGTGTCTCTGGGGAGCTGTGTTGCGGCTGAGCTAGGGGCCGGGGTGTTGTAAGAGGGAGCATTTTTTTCCCCTTTGCGGTTCATTTGCTGCTCATTCGGCACATTCCTGCCAAAGCCTTCCTCCAGAATGGGCTCCTCTCTCTGTTCACATTCCGTTAGATTCCGTCCGATCAGGTCGGTGCACTCGAGTTGATACTTGCAAAAGGCATTCACTAGAAAGCACAAACGCATCCCCACAATTTGTAACAAAAAAAAACAGACACGCTTCATTGTCCGGTACATGTAATGCATTGCACACGCACCATTACCGGCTTTGCTAGTTCAGGCACACTTATATGCGGACAAGATTAGTTTAAAGTTCAGTGGTTTGATATTACACTGATTTGGTTTCGTCACTGGTGGACATTTCCAGAACACAATTTGATTAAATACCCCCGCCCCCCCCCCAACCCACCAAGAGGGTGGCGATGAAACATGAAAACATTTGCCGAGAGTAGCACATGGTGCATGGTTGCGCGCTATCGTAGCAAGAGAGATGAGAGAGACGGGAGTGGCGAGGAGCCGAACTTCGCCACTCGACGCGCTCGGATGAAAGGGGGGGGGGGGGGGGGGGTGGCAGCTGCTGCCCTGGACACTGTGGAGCAGAAGGCTCGGGCAGGCCACGGCAGATGCACCGGCACAATGCAACCAATCGACACCGCCGCCTTAATTGATTTACGGCGACACCTCACTGAGTTAAGGAGGTCATTAAATCGGGTCGCAGACCGCCGTTAACAAAATTTTGCGTGGAATATTTATTGCGTTGCCAAGAGGCGGCAGAATGCGTTTGCTGGTGACGTGTGCACGGCATCAAGCAAGTTGTTTGTCAGATGTTGCTGACGCCTTGCGTCTTGTGCAGAATGTTGGTTGTGAAATGAGCCGCTATTATCTGCCAGTCTTTTTTCAAGTATTCCCCTCTGACTTAAGACACAAAAGTTAATGTTCTACGTGAACCCCTTTTCGGCCTGGGACTTTGTCCCCCGCTCCCTCCACCCTCCGCTGGTCGCCCCAGCTCACCCGCTCGCTGTCTCTCTCTCTCACCGCCAGTTCATTTGCGTCAAATCTCGCCGGTGCTCGCCGGTTCTAACCACGCGCTCCACCTCCACAATTCTCCGCCCCTCCCCCCGTCATCCTCGACTCCATCCCTCTGAGCCAGCCACGTAACCCCCGCTCCTGCCTGTGGTGGCTCGGTTCTCATGATGCTTCGCTGTGCGAGCACCCTGTGGGGAGAATTACAGAAAAAATAGCTTGCCCCCCCCCCCCCTCGGCAGCCCAGCAGCCAACGCTGGCAAATCACTCCCAGCTGGCGTGAAGAGCCCTGGAGGTGGATTGGGAGATCGACTGTCAGGGATCGGGACATCACAGATGGACATTAGATAGTGGGGAACAAACAGTGGCACACAACTGTGGTAGCAGATATTACGTAATTAATTAGTTGTTTTCCCTGGCCAGTCTTATCCAGACTTTCTTAGGAAGGTTCATCTTTGGACGGTCAATGCAAATAAATGTGTTTTTTTATATTAGAGGACGTGTGAGTCGCTGGGGAATCCCCATAATATTTAGGGGGAGAGTACTCAATTTCTGCATGGATACATTTTAATCCGACCAGGCCGCTTGTGTCCTTGCAGTTGAGAGCTTTGGGTAGGTGAGAGAGTTGAGAGCCAAGTGAGGGCTCATTTACTGCAGAAGGCTCTTCTTCAAGGAAGGCCTTGGGTTTTAACAACCACAGCGCAGCAAAACGGCAAACACGTCCGAATGTTGTTGCAAAACAACATGAGAAAAGATTACAATATGGTGAAGCACACATTCTCAAGAACAAACAATCGTGAAGCTAAAAGATGAGACATTAGGACATTTTCTTCAGCAGCTCCTTCTGTGTGTGAGCGCTTGCCTGGAAGCCTGGCATAAATGACGCTCGCCTCCCTTCTCGATCCAGCACCAGGGCCCAATTGACATGGGCACGGTGCCCACTGGGTGGGCACTGCTAGTACCGCATCAAACAGCAGCCGAAACTAATTTGGGAGTGTCGTGCCTCCAATTCTGAAATGGAATCGCGGATCGCAGAGGGGGTGGCCGTGGCGTGCAAGCGCTTTGCCGTGACTTTTAAAAACGATTTTTTTTTACCGAGGTCTCATTTAAGACATCATGAATCACACATTCTCGCACCTCCGATGAGCATAGTTGGCTGTGTATAGTGCGAAAGAAGTTCCACATACGTAGATGCATAAGACAACTTGTGATAACATCTTAAATGAGAAACTTGTGACCGTGCTCAAAGCAGGAACAATTGAGAAAGCAAGCAATACAGTAAATAATGAACTGACCTAAATAGCTAACGCAAGTACTAGGAGGGGCATGCAATTGATTTATTTCACTAAAGCTTTCGCTCGGTTATATTTTTAATGTAATGGCATAGGCAACCTCTTAAATCAATTCTCTTGTAAAACCTGTTGTTAAATATACAGTATACAAGCTGGCATGCCAATCACCAACGATACAAATCAAAACAACAGTTTCCCCCCCCCCGCCGCCTCGCCTCCCATTCAACAATATCAAAAGTTCTGCCGGAATTATCGTCAAAAAATGCCAAACACAAAGGTCGCTGTGGCTCGGGTCGCTGGAACGATTCGTGCGTCTCCTCTTTGTTCGCCCTTCGCAAAGCATGGCAAAGAGAGTGGCCAAGTTATAGCCGTGCCCTATTTCCAGGGCTGCTGGGCCACTGGCAGATTGCGGTCACATCGGCAAGGCCTTCTCGTTGAATTTACCGCACTGGCGCTGTCTGTCTGCTAACTAGTAGGGGATCAGGCGACGCTTACTCACAGATATATGGCGTTCCTCTGCTCATGAGCGTCATTGCCCTTTGCGAAATGCGTCATTGGGTCTGAGAAGTCGAGCACACGCTAAGCCATTTGCCATATGTCATTCACCCCCGACTGCAGGCTACGGCGCGGGGTGCTTTGATAAGAGAGGCGCAAGGTCCAGTCCCCCCTCGTTAAGACTCTTTCCAGACAATGACCCCCCGGCAAGGACACGAGCGAGAGTTTTCGTGGCAAGCAGAGCTGCTCGATGGCACAGGGACAGCCTGGTCCATGGGGTGTCTCCCAGGAGGCCCAGCCAAGGCTCAAACTCTCAAGCCGACTCTCAGAGCAGGAAGCCCGGTAGAAATTCGAGGACCTGATCAATTGAGTTGAATTAATAATGTGTACATCACACTGGTCAGTGTGGGATGGTGGATATTAAGTTGGCAGAGCAGGACTAGTTCGGATACCACGAGCCACTGATGTAAGCCATGGCTGAGAATCGAAATCCCGTTGCAGGATTAATAGCACAGTGCCGCCCGCTCATGGCTGAGCCACTGCTCTCCCACCCAGTGGAATTCCAGAACTTTATTCCCGCAGCGAAATTCTTTAAACTGTAAGCCATGACCACTTGCTCAGCAAAATAACAATAAATACTTGTGGAGAGTCAATTTCTACCTGCAATGAAGGGGTAGACTCGTGTTATATTGCTTGGCTTCATGCAAAAACAAAAATAAACGAAAAAAGTTGTTCTTCTGCCACTAGATTAGGTGTAAGTTGTGATTGGCCGAAAACGCTTAAGGATCAGCATTTTCGTAGCGCGCACGCCGGCTATGAATTGTTTGCTCAGTTTTTTTCTCTTCTAAATTGTCAGCGAATCTGCTCGGAACGTGAGAGACCTTTGCGCGAGAGCGAAGGGAAATAAACAGCGTTAATGGTTTCGGTTGTGTAGGCTCTGCGAGGGCCGGGGGGGGGGCTCGCTGTGGCCCCCCACGTGCGGAGCAAGGCCTTTGATCCGCTGGAATGCACATTGCACTGCCGAGCGACGCTCTCTCCGTGGCGTCGGCCTCTGTGCAAGGCCCCCTGTGCCCCCCACGCATGAACTTGCAGTTGTCAAGCAAGCGGACGCAAAATTGTGTTGTGGGAAATCACCACACGGCCAAGAGGGAAACCCCGTACGCCGCACACAGTGCCGTGGATGCGATCTAGGAGGCCAGTAGCAGCCTCTTTGTGTCATCGAGGCTGGTGAGATCATAAGCAAACATGGTCGGGGCGGTGTGTTTGTGTGTGGAGTGGAATTGCAGGTGGGTGGAGTGGTGTTACTCATTTCCCTGCGTGTGGGATGAGAAATGGTCGCTAAAACACCACAATTGATGGAGTTCTTGCGAACAGTGTTTCAATGTTTATGTTTCACAATTGTAATTGTATTGTGTTTATGTTATCGGAGTGTTCATATTTTTAGACTATCTGTCACCCACAATGCCGTTTTCACAAACACTAAATCCGTGCGACAAAGGCAATATTATATATAGAGCTTTCGTCTAGTCTGGCTGGCAACCCCATGATTAATGTTTAACTCAAGTAAACAACTCATGGCAGCGCCAAATGATTAATGTTGTGTTGTGATGGCCACACTGAGGCGGTGCTGATAAAAGTTAGTGACACCCCGGCACACACATGGGTCATGGTGTCATTTTTATAGCGCTCAAGAATTTGGAGTTTAGACCAGGTGAGGTAATTTCAACCGTGACGCCACCAAACACATCTCAGTGTGCACGACAATGCCAACGGACGGTTGCTGCAACCTAGGCAAACGGAGGCATTCAGCGTCACTTATTGTCGTGAAAACTCTTTTTTCATCATTTCGTTTCGTCGCCTCGCCCCTGGCAGACTCGGCGAGGACGCAGCGAAGGCACGGACAATGTTCGGGCAGTGGCTGTAAGGTGCGAGATCTTCCACCGCCACCGCCGCCGCCATAATGGAGCTGTTGGGAACGTCACGCCTGCGATGGTGCCGATGGGTGGAGGCGACGTCGTTCGTGCGTGTGGCGCTGGTGCTCGGCGCCGCGGCGGTCACGCTGGGGGACATGCACGACGGCTCGTGCTCGCGCAAGGAGCACCCGCGCACGGCACACCAAGGTCAGCCAGCCAACACTCGCTCACCTGCGTCGGGCCCAGGCTATTACTCGTGTTGGGACAGAAATGGGTGGTGTTGACCCAACGTGTCTCAACGCTGATCGTACCTTGACCCAGCACTGGCCCAAAATTGAATAAACCTTTACTCAACATTGCCTATTTTTTGCCGAACATTGGCCTAGTATTGACTCAACTTGGCCTGAGATTTGCCCAACATTGGCCTAAAATGTATCCAAATTGACCAAACATAGTCTCAATATTTAACCAAACAATGACTCAACATTGCCCAACATTCACTCAATGCTTTGTCTATCTGGAATCCGGTTCACACGAAACGAAGTTCAGAAATTTTATTTTCAAGTGTACTACGACAGCTGTCTCTCTCAAATGGTCACTCATCCTTTAAAGCATTTTGAAGTCCCACTATAAACTATAATTATCCAGAAGGCCTATCAGCTGAAATGTCAACATCTACTTATCCTCTAATTCAAAAATATCATCCTACTTTGATATTTACCTGCTGTGCAGTAATACAATGTTGTAGGCACTGGTTGTGATTTATAGCTTAGAGAAGACAGGAAGGAGATTGTATTTATTTTTCTGGGATGGCATTTGTAACCGTCAGTAAAAAAATCTATATATATACTTTCCCTGTCTCCTTGTTCTGAAGGAGGATCATTGCTAAAGTATTAGCTTGGAAACATTTTTAGTTGTAATGCAGCGTTTGTTCATGATTACTGAGGCTTTATTTTGAACATATACGTTGAGTATTTTAAACATTTTATCTACTCTGATTATTGCACGGAAATAAATACTGTCATGAAGATGACTAGGTGGCGCTTGTGTTGGCGATGAACACAAAGGGAGGTCGTTGTGGATGTGTCTGGCTTAAAGGAACACAAAGTCACTTTACAAGCCCTGTCTTGTGATCATCATGCATCTAATAAGAGGCCGTTGTTTTGTTAGGAAGAACTATTTCGAAAAATAAACTGTTCATGCGGCACGGCAAAACAACTTGGCTTACTTATATTCCGAGCGAAAAACAACAACAGGCCCACAGCTGCTGTCCGAGCTGCGCTCAACGGAGGCGTTGGTGCGATCGCTGCTGCCAGACTCCTCGCTCTATCAGACTCGCCGTACCTCGAGCGAGTCGTAGTAAAGCCCACGGCCACTTCTGCTGCACGCACACACGCACGTATTAGTACCCCCGGACATCTGGTTTCGGGAATTTACTGACGCAAATAAACAAGTGGCACTCAAGCGCTGACGGTAAGACTGGCCCGACCAGCTCATGTGTGAAGTGCTAATTGTGAGAACTGCCTGCAGAAAGTGAGGTCGCGGGGTGGAGAGGCGGGACATCTGGCTCGTGCTGCGGTGGTCGTTAAGTCGGTGCTTGAGACATAAGAGGGGAATTGGAACCGAGTGGGTGTAAATCCCTGGTCTGCAGCAACCCCTTTAAATGGAAGTGTACTTTCCAGCGCGACACAATGATACGGTTTTAGGGGTGGCAGCAAGACGAGTGGCTGGGAGTAGACAGGGGTCTGGATCTTAAACACTCAGTGCCTACTTAAACGCGTCTTCAATCACTCACTTTTAATAATGAGAGAGAGAGATAAACCGCTGAGACGGCACAGTGGCAATGTGAGCACGCCTTACAGGTGACGTGAAGTGAATATCCGACAAGCAATGGATAATAAAATAAACAAGCAAACTCTTAATTGAGTCTGCGAGAAATGTAATCACAGTATAAATGGACAGTCCTCTGTCATAGTTATAGAGCCGTGAGGCAGCTTCCCCCGATGCGGTAAATACGCAGCGCCTCTCGTCCCCCCTGGCTTGCCCTGCTGCGCCGAGCGGGGCAAGCCAGGGGGGCGCCGAGCATCCCAGTAGCGAGCGCCATATGAAAGGTGCCTGTTGGTATGTATCCATGTTGAACTTTCATCGCACCGTACACAGCCAACCACGCCAATCGGAGGTGCAGGAGGAAGGACAACAAACTAAACGCGAAAGCAGTTTAAAATGAAATGAGTTTTCAATCTAGGTTTGAAAGTGCACAGCTCCAGTGGCTTCGTAATGTCGGAAGATTCCACGTTTGAGCTGCCCGCGTGGAATCAACCTCCTCGCCCTGGGCACTAAACCCACTAAATGGGAGTGATGGGTTGCACATGCAGCGTTTCATTAATTAATGGAGCATAGATTTCAAACGAGAGCCCCGGAGGCAGGCGGCCGGCCGAGTGAGCCACGGCTGCGGCGGGCTGGAGCGGAGCGGCCGTTTTGATGCTATCGCTGCAAGAGTGAGGGATCTCAGTTTACACTCTGCCGTGTCAGAGCACAAAGCGACCTGGGCCGCGGTGGCTGCGGGGCCCCCGTGCTCCTGTCATCGTCGCTTCTCGGCTCGGAGCGTCGCGTGTCACGCGGGGGAGGACGCGCTTGGCACGGATCGTGGGTCCCATGCCACTGCGCCTCGCTTAAGCGCGCGCGGGGAGTGATGCCGGCTTTGCGTGCAGTCGTTCCGCTCACTGATGTTTACCGGCTAGTTTCCCAGGAGGATTATTGGCCAAAGCTTCATTTTCCCAGAAATCCCAATGCACCCCATCCTTGCTGAAACTATTTATTCCATCAACAAACACATGTGTGTGTGTGTGTGTATGATTCTAGTGGGAACCAGTGTTTGGCATGGACGTATTTAACGTCAAATAAACGGACGCATCAAACGTTGGTGATTGACTGCCGTGTAGGCACAGCCTTGATATGTTCATCTGTGCAATAAGTCACAACCAGTGCTGCCTGTGATGCCGTCGGAGCCTTGGGAAACAATGCCTTCGCCCAAGTGTTACCAATTTTAATGCTGAAGCAAATGCTGCTGGGTAATATTGGTCTCGAAAGCCCAATAGACCGATGGACTATTACACAGTTTTTATGTGCGGAAAGAACAGAGTTTAGCTTAAACATGCTTTTACCCATAACGCTGCACAGCAGGGCATAATGTGTTTCTGTTCTTGTCTTGGCCCATATACCGTGGGATGTTGGTGGCAGACCAGGGGGGTGGATGAGGGGCCCTGTTTCGGCCTTACCAAAGGAGTTGTGAGCAGGAGGCTGTCGTAAGGTGTGAAAGGCCCCTCTGGAACAGTTTACCACACTCCGGGAAGGGGGTTAGATCAAAATTAGTATTTTCTTTTTTCTCTTAGACCAGCTTTTGCAGCTGTAGGTGATTGCTTCCAGATTTCGTGCACAAACAAAAATGTCCAAGTGAAAGTAACACTCGATGTGTTTCGCTGTTTCAGTTTGTGTTTTACTTACAGCGCCACTGTCCACAGTTTCTCTCGTTCTAAGTATGCGGAGCGCAGTCCTCCTTCCGCCGCGGGCCTCCCCGTTGAGGCTGGGCATTGCCGGGTTGCGTGCGTGCGTGCGTTCTTTCTGATGTTCAACTTAGATATCGCATGGAAATGACGCACTCAAGTTTTTTTTTTGGCCTTATGATCCACTGCCCAGCACGCGTGGCAGGGTATGTGTGTGAATGTGTACACACACAGAACAAAACCGCAAGCCTTGTCCGTGGAGGTGGGAAGCAAACGTAGGGTCAGAAGTGTGGCGCACATTTTTGGCATTTTGAGAAAATCCATCCAAGGAATGTAAATCACGGTCATGTGTCTACTCTGTGCTCCGTTTACTTGGGAGGGGATAAACATGAATCATCGCTGGTGTCGCACGATCTGCCTCGACACACGACCACCTTTTCTTTACCCAAGATTGTGACCTCTCCACGTGTCTCGCAAAGCATCTTTTGAGGTTAGAGTAAAAAAAGTAACAAAAATTAATTACTTGAGTCTTGAGCCCTCTGTGCTGGTGCTTTGCCCCTTTTGACACGCTCTGCTCCCACCCACACTCGGGGCCCTGACCCCTGTTACCCCCTGCTGTGCACAGATCTGGCTCCGTGGCTGCACGAGTTCACCTTCCCCGCTGCCCTCAACTACTCCCAGTTGACGATCGACCCTGCCCGCGCCCAGCTCATTGTGGGGGCCAGGTAATGCTGACCTTAGGCTCGTCGCCCCGTCACACCGCGCTTTCCACCACGCGTCACCGGGACCCCACCACGCGTCACCGGGGCTGTACCACCAAACACCGGGGCTGTACCACCCACCCCGAGACCCTGGGTGGCCTGCCCATGCTGCAAGTAGCACGGCAATCGTGGTTGTTGCACGGCTGCTTTTTTTTTTACAAAATGACATGTTGTTTGTGGTCTTTTCTCGAGTTTACTCCCTCACTAATATTGGGAGTCCTGCTCATAGCGTCTCCCGTTTTAAACGTCGCTGTTTACGCAGCATTTTGATGGGAGATCTCATGGCAGTAGGGAAAATTTAAGTGGGGTTTCTGCAGTTGTGGAAGGTGGCACACTGTGCTCCCAGCTTCGGATCGGTTGAAATCTTGAGCAATTTACCTTCTTGACTCTGCCTCTATCGCAGTATAAAGGTCACACCATGGCAAGCCAATTGGCATACTGCTTGTGGTGGGGTAAAAGTGTGGGTGCCCGATTAGTTCCGAAGTTAACCTTTTTTTTTCAGTAAAAAACACAACGCCAGCAGAGCAGATTACGACAAAGACAAAACAAAACACACGCTTGCATATCGTGCTTAATCACCGGTTTCAGTAACGTTGACAGTTTGTTTTCATCCATTTTCTAGGAACTATCTGTTCAGACTCAGCCTGGCCAACCTCTCCTTAATTCAGGTGAGTTTAATTCTATTTAAATGACCATGCACAGGGAATGGTGGCGGGGGGGGGCTTAAGAGTGAATGGCGATCAATTCCACCGATATGCACGCATAAACACGCGCAGAGCCAACAGGAGGCGAGTGTTTGTGTAAAAGAAAAGCTGATCTCCGGCGGTGGCGGTGGCTGCGGCGTGTACGATGCCCCGTTGGTGTTTGTACAGCCTTTGTGCTGCTACGCCGAGCGCGGTGAGCAACGCACTCCCAAAACACCGCTGCGCTTCGTTTCACCGCGCGGCACACAACTCCCCAGGCCGCCGGGCCACAAGGCTCGGGGAGTGGGCGAGCGAGGGAAGAGGGAGAGGGCGAGAGAGAGAGAGAGAGCCGTCGTGTTTGTGTGCGACCCAGCCACGATGGGGCCCCGGCCAGGGGCGCAGCGATAGGGGTGTTGTGGAGTTGGCAATAGGAGGAGGGGGGGGGGTGCAGGGTGAGTTCTGGTCAGGTTAGTGGGAAGGAATTGCTCAGGGTGGAGATGGTGGGTGGAGACTGCAGGGATGGTGAGAAAGTGAGCGGGTGATGGCGGGAGTTCATACTCCGCACCCCTGGCTGATCCCTTTCACGAGAAAAATCACTCGGTGCTTCTCAAAAAACGTGCGGTGAGATGGCGAACAGCAGCCAAGGGCTGATTGGGTTGATTCCTGACCAACTTTCCGTCCCACTGCTCTTAATTCCAACAAATCCTGTAAGCATGGATTAAATTGCAGGTTACTTGCTTGAATCGCTTTCTTTTGAATTCGAGCAAAAGGCGTTCATTGACATTATTTTCCACAAGCCACATTCGAAGTCAACTTTTCCATGTGTAATGTTGACTTTTGAAAGTGCAGCAGCCAACTCACTGCTCTGAAGAGATGCACTGTGAAGTTTAGACGGGAGTTGCACATCGAGCCTCCGTGCCTTTACAGCCAGAGCACATCTGGTTTAGGCTCTTGGGCCGCATAGAGGCTGGTTCATTGAGGGGGCAGCTGCTGTCAGGAGGCCCCCTCAGTGTGTGTATATGTGGCCTTTATCCCGAGCTCTGAGCCACTGCAGGACAGATCGTGAATCCACTTTGTCTGGGAGACGGCCAACATGAGAGGACTAGCGTGCCACCATCTCTCTCCCACGAGTGAGGGAGATGGTGATTAAAGACCAGGTTACCTTGGCATTGGTATGCACAATAAACAAGTAATTTGCCTGAGACCTTCAAGTCCAGCAGGTTGGTGTTCTTATTTTCTTACGATTGTACGTCTCTTTTTGGAAGATGAAAAAAAAAATCGGATACATTTTGAATGGTTGCGTTGTGGCTTAGCTTTTACTGGCACGCACGTGAAAGTTATGCAAAACGTCAGAGCCAGGAATTAAATCCTTTTCCTTGTGTTTCGAGTCCGGCAATCGCAGCCAGATGGCTGGTTCTCATTTTACGCCAACTTTGGCCTCCATTATAGGTGACAGAGTCAGTTTTTTTTGCAAAAGAATTACGCCTGGTTTGTCAGCACCATGCCGTAGACTTTTCTCTGTTTAAATAAAAAAAAAAGTTTATATTTAAGGCACATTAACTTTCACTTTGTTGCTTGCATATGCATTTCCAGTGTTTATTCAAACTTATAAAACAAGTGTGTATGCTCATCTTTGCCCAGCGAACTGGTGCACATTCATCATCCATGGACCATGGGTCAAGGTTGCTGGATTATGCTCAGATCTCCTGCTTGAGAGATACCCACATGCACGTGCAAATATTTTCACGCTTGAGGCAGTGCAGCAAATCAGTTGCCGATTTACCTGCGTAGCGTTTGAGGTTTTCCTCACACATACAAAAATAGGCAGACACAACATTTTCATATATTGGCCAAAAGTAGGAATCTCTGGAAAGCTTCTTGGATTAACAAACAAGCAACCCCTTTTTCTTCGCCAAATACATTCCTATCCTCACATCCCGAGGGTTGCCATGCGAGACGTCTCTCGGCCTCTCTTCTTGGTATCTCACGTTCGCGCTGTGACCCAAAATCTATCGGCAGCAGGGACGGGGGACGGCGGTGGGGGGTGGGAGGGGGGAGGGAGTGAACGGCAGGATTCTCGCTGAGATTTGCCACGTGGAAGAGCTGCTCCCCGCCAGGATCGTCGGCGAGGTCGAGGGTCGTCGTCGAGGTCGAAGGTCGTCGGCGAGGTCGAAGTTCGTCAGTGAGCTTCCTGTGGCCGTGCGGGGGCTGAGCCATGCACCACCAGTCCCGATCATCCGCAGCTGTGTAAATCGCTTATCTCTCAGGTGTTAGGAGGATGCGGGAAAATAAAGGCAGCTGTGAATTCTGCCTTAATTTAGTGGTTGAGGTGCGAGCGGAGGAGAGGTTCGTGAAGTGCGATTACTTTTGCGGAGGCCACTCGGAGACACGGCGTTTGGACCTAGCTGTGTCTGGAGCTGCTGCGACATCTCAGCCGAGACCTTGCAGGGCTCGGCTCTGTCTCACTCTCTGTCAAGAAAAGACACGGTAGGGGTACAAAGAGAGAGAGAGACAAAATGAGAGAGACATCTACCAACATAGAGTCAACTGCACCGAGGAATCTTCCACAAGTAAAATATCCATTACATTAAAAAAAATACTAGCGTCTGTTATGCTACATAATCGGCAAAAAGTGTGAAAATATTACGCACGTTTAAATTCAAGTAACAAAAATATATCCACAAAAAAATACTGCTGCGCTTCTTCGTGTTGGGATTTCAATGCTGGAATGTTTTTCCAAATGAAAAGAAGAAAGTGAAAAAAAAAAGACTTTCCGTTCGTAAAGAATGATCGAGTGGCTACCGACGTATTGGCTCGGTTCTAGGTTGAGCGGAGAGGCAGCTCGGCCTTTCAGCGGCGCGCGCGCGCGAGAGAGCGCACGGACGCGCGGGACCCGGGCGTGCTTTGTGAGTGCCGGTAGAGACTCGCGTGCGACCCTCCCGTGCCGCCTGCGTGATCGCTCGTGCTCCCGTTGGCGCTCCCCGCATGTACGCGTTCGCGCGGTGACAGATCGTTTCAACGGAAAACCGCCGCCACTTCTGCGACTTGCCGGCGTGGTGGCTCGAGTCCATAAAAAAAAAAACGGGTTTTCTTGATAGCATTAGTGCCGCTCCTTGCCAATGGGACTCGGCGAAGTTGAAAGCGGTCCAAATTTGCGTGTTTTTTTGTGTGTTTTAAACAAATGCTGCCGCGGTGCGTGGATCTGAAAGAATGTCCACGGGTCAAAGTGTTGGATATCATATCGTTTATTTCAATGAGGCAAATCCTCTTGCCCGTTCTTTTAATGAGTCCCCCTCTCCCCTCTATGCGCTTTGCTCATCCAGTTTGAGTGCTGCTTTTAGTCAAAGGCTGAGTGGAGTCCACCAGGCACCGTTTTGTTGCCCAGGTGCCTGTGGAGCTTTGGCTGTTCTCGGGGGCGCGAGACAAATCCATCACGCAGAAAGCCTCCGAGCGTATTTTCCCAAAAAAATCCGGCCAAGCGGCCGCACTTTTGGGCGCAAAGGTCACACGAAAAGCAAAACAATAGGCGGTGGAGCAGCTGGATCGGGTTACCTGCACGGCCGCTTGGCACGCCCCTCGACACAACTCGCTGCCTCCCTCCCCCTGGCTCGTTCGCGCGCCACCTTACCAAGCGGATCGTCCATCTTGACGCGGCAGTGCCAGGGAAATGGTCGATCCTGTTCCCCGCAGGAGGGCGACAGTGCCCTGCACCTGGTTTTGTCAACACCTGGTTTCATCAGCAGTTCAACGGAGTGGGGTTTTTTTTTCCCGACCATGGCGGCAGTGTGAGCGCCATGTGGGGAGGGAGGGTCGTGGGCTCCTGATAGACTGGGGGGGGTGGGGGATATTCTCGCCCTCCTCCCACTGCAGGTTCAGGGCCATGCTGCCTTTACATGCGGGATGGGGGCGGGGGAGCATCCGTGCATTGGAGCTTTGCCAGATTTTATCAATAACATTTACCATTTCACAACTAACTGTTTTTTCGTCGTTGGTGATGTGCCAAATTTTGCTGATTTTTTGTCCAGCAAGCTTCCTCATTTAACTGCACATTGGATTCTAACCCATGCCCGTGTGCATTTGGGAACACAGAATGCACCATAACAACCCGCTGCTTATGTGACCTTCACTATCAAGTACAGAACAACATTTTATTCCGCACATTTGTAAGCTGCGGTACACAGTGTGAGCAGAAGAACGGTTTGGCTGAGGATTAGTTAATGGCTTATTTAACCAACAAACACTTGGAACAGAGCATTTGAAGTTATTATTGAACTGCTAACGCTGGGAGGAGGATCATTTCCTGAATCGGGGATGCTTCCAGAGGAGGGATCAGAGCTTCACAAATGCCAGCTGGGAATTTATTTATGCCACAGAGAATTCCCGCTTGCAATGTGCCGTCCAAAGTCGACTCAGAATTTCCGCAGACTTCCTCTCCTGACATTTTTTGTTTGCCCTTAGTGAACGTAAAGCAGAATGGCACATCTCTGTGTTATTAAGCAGTCACTCACTTCCTCAATAACGCTGATAAATAAGAGACCTCTTCATGGCTCAGAGAAGATCTTATTTTCATTCTTAATGGATCTTTTTTAATCAGAGTACTTCGACAAAAACACGATAGCTCGCCATGAAAAACAAGAGAGCTGGCATATTAGGGTGAGCAATAATGAACGTTGACACATCTGCCGTTGAGCGCTTGCCAGCATCTGACAAGCGGTGCCGAGGGTTCGGACGGCCTCCTTCGTCAATCGAGGCCGCGTAGACGAGAGCGGAGAGCGTGCAAGTATTCTGGCCCGGTGGTGGCTCAAGCAGCCTTGCTGCGGCGTTGTTTGGACGTGGTGGAACGCTGTCTCCTCTCTGCGTGCCTGCAGCGAAGACGTGGAAAAGGGGAGATGGAGGCAGGAGCATTTTAACTGCACCTGACACTCTTGGCCACTGCCCTGTTTGTGCAGGCGGTGCGGCGGAAGAGCGCCCGCTCGTTGCAAGCG